ATAGGAAGTATAGATATTGAGTCATCTAATTCGACGCCCTGGTAACCACAAAGATGAAGATAGTTTCCGAACAGTGCGTTCGAGTTGTAATTATGATCATAAGCGATCAAAATAAATTCAGAGATATGTCCACAAATGGACCTTTATCCTGCTTTGCAGTTATGTAATCCGATGCTGTTGAAAAGTTATGATCCCAAAATTCGGAAATTTAAGCAAATTTGGCGAATGAAGAAACGTGCAAACCTCGGAGGTGACTGTAAACAGTCGGATGAACTGCTTCTGAATATATGTTTACATGTCTGTACGCAGCAGTCGAAGCCAACGTAATTACCTGTAATTGTTTTCATATCGACATTTCAGCATTTTCCCTCCTTCGACCAAAAGGTACGTGGTAGAATCTCCCTTGATTAAGCCATCACAAGGAGTCATTTTCTCCGAGGTTGGTTCCCAGCCAAGCGTCCTGTTTTGCATGACAGGCCCGTCGATGGGAAAGTTGCCTCCTTGGAAATTGGTCTTGTGCTCAAGAGTGTTACCTTTGAGGCTGTCAAAGTAGGAAGCATTTCAGAACGCAGAATGAATAAAACATACATTTTGAGTCCACCTTAGAGGTAACAAGATTTTAATGGAATAAAAACCTCTAAATCAACAGGTTAGATTACTATGTTAGAAGACAAAAATAAGCCTGAAAGGAAAAAGTGACGAATGTAAAAAAAAAAATTAGGTCAATTTGTACAAACTGAGTGTTGCCTAATTAGTTTTGAAAAGCAAGCGGTTGTCGCTGTATTAATGCACTTTTGCGGCTTCCATGATTTTATTCATTTTGGAAATCCGTCGTGAATTTTCACTTTTTCACATCAAGCGCAAATCTTTGTTTAGTGTTGCAGAATATGCAAGAAAATTTAAACGATTTTTGCTTTGGATCATTTACAGATGTAACTCGAAGATCTTTGTGCAATTTCCAAGTTAAAAAGCTGATTGACAGTTAAATTGTAAGGAATTACTCACCTCATTTCCACAGTGGCCGTGGCACACCCACCATCTTCAAATGTTAATTTCCTGTCGTAAGTCAGACCCTCGGGAAATGCTTTCTTGAAATAATCAGTAATATCAGCAGGGTACTTAATAAAACATTTGAATCCATACATCAAGGTCGATGCCACTATGTCAACGGCAAATGGAAGGGGTCCGCCCTTTGTAACACGGAATGTCCCCGTTTGTTTGCCTCTGAAATATTCAGATGAAGAGGATTTTCGATATGGTTGTCTTTCATTAAAGAAATCACTAGCATATGACTATTTTGGCACGTTTTCATCACATAAGTGACTTGCGTACAATGACCTCTGGACGAGTTACTATATGGAGCTTTGATATATAAACCCCTTTTTCCACGACAGCCATTGGCAGATGACGCAAACGGCCGCAGGAAACATAACTGAAATAACCAAATTTTCTTTGGTTAGACCAGCAATGCATCCGCGCAAAAGGAGAAGTTACAGGTTGATCGTTATTTCAGATAAACTTACTCGTAAGGTTTGCCGGTGCCTTCTCCTTCGATGGTGAACGCATGGCCATTGACACAGCCCTCCATAAGCCATGTCATCTTCATGGTATCGGCTAAAACCTGAATATTGGAAGAAAATTATCAAAAACCGTCAGGAGAAAAAGATTTTCTGGAGAGGCACTTAACTCGCCTATTCTATTAGCTATGTAAACTACAATTCACTTACATATTTTGAATGAGACATCTTAAGATCTGCTTCGCAAAGTCGAGCAACGAGCACTGGTTCCGCCTAAGAGGTGTGTCCTGCAGTTGAATCAAATTGATGGTGAACCTCCTTGGTTTGCCAAATTTATATGGTGCCACTCAACCCAAAAAGACAATGATCAATTAAATGTCTCACGCGCCGGATGACGTGTACACAGATTTACACCCTTTTCCGACAGTTCGTGTAATCTTTTAAGCTCGGCTGTCTGCCCATTTTGGCCTTGGGAATTATTTTTGCCAAAAATAATAATCAAAAGATTTCGATAATTATCTGCCTAAGAGAGATAATCAGACTGTGACATAAGTGATTGTCGCTCACGTAACACGCTTTTGAGGAAGGGTTCCCTTTTCTTTCTTACAATTTTTTTTTTCTATCGTGGACAGTTTTAACAGTAAATTCAAACAAAGAGTTGAAAAAGGAAAGAAACAAACTAAGAAAGCCTTCAACGCCTGCGTGCGTTTTACCTCATTTTTAAGCGTTTCCGGCGAGCTACCGCTGTTAAAAACTTATTAAATTGATCTCAAGCGAACTCCTTAGTTAGAGTAGAGAATTCCTTACAAAGTTTGCCAGATGCTGCCGAATGTTACGTAATTCTACCTCGCATAAGGTAATATTGTACAGGTAATATTATAATGATAACATTTTGTTAAACTCTCTTGCAGTAACTTACTGAATTAACGAGTTATAATACAATGAAAACTTGAAAACTTGAAAACTTGCAAGCTTTTTTATATATGTAGTCAACATTACTATTCCACTTAAGGTCGCTATAGATAAATACTCTTAGAATTTTGTAAGTCGATACACGTTCTATACCGTTGTTGTCTACAACCAATGGTCTTAGAGTAAAGTTAGGATATAACATAAAGTTAATTAACATCTTTTTACATTTAATTGGGTTTAGTCTCATGTTGTGATCCACAGAAAAATTGTGAATGTCAGAGACGGTCGAACTGAGCAGACTGATAGAGTTCTTGGGTTGTATTTCTATGGCAGACGTGTCATCCACAAACTTAACTTTCGGGTGCTAATAAGCTAAAAGATTGTTTGTGAAAAGCTAAGTATCATTCCTAGTTCAATTCCCTGAGGCAAACCTTTCTTGAGGAATTTCCAATCCGATAATGTTGCACCTATTCTTACAGTCTGCTGTCTGTCTGTTAGGAACGCAGCAATCCAATAAATGAGCGCAGGACGAACCTGTAATTCGCAACTTAGTCATTAAGATTTTGTAGTCAATTAGATCAAAGCCTTTCGAAAATTCAGCGAAAAAGACCCAGGCTCCTAGATCAGCACAAGCTACTGCCTCGTAAATGGCTTGTAACATGAATAGAAGAGCATCTGTTGTCGAGTGGCCTCTACGCGCGATTTTCGATTTTTCGATTTTCCCATAATATTGCATAAGGTTACGAAACTTTTAAGGTGCCTCCTTGAAGTTTTAACCTGTTTATGACGCACGCAGCGGCGTTGTGTTTTCATGCACCTCTTTTTTAGGCGCATAAGACCTTTGGATATCACGAGTATCTTTGCTTGGTACCCTAGAGTCTACTTATCTAAAAACTATATCCTTTTATACGCCTTTTTAAATGAGAATTGTGTGATCGTGTCATACATACATACCTAACCTTATTTCAACTCGAATTATCAGAGTAGCTCTATTGAGAATAGAAAGAAAAATATCTAAATCAATTAAATTATTAATATTCATTAATTAAAACTACCACTAAAAATTCATTTTCTTTTTCTTTATGGCTGTCTTAAAATCTTAAAATGATGTCATTGTTCTCATACTGTCTGAGAGCGAATTGTCGATCCGCTATGTTTGATTTCTATGTTGACGCTTTTAAAGCTCGCCTTATGCTCTCGTCCAGATCGCGCACGGTCGAAAACTTAAAGAGACTAACCCAATTTCAGTTACGTCCGCTCCACAATTTCTACCTTGATGTTCCAATATATATATGAGACCCATGCAATTTCCCTGGGCGGAAACATATGCCACGACAACACAATTTTATCTCATTCATTCCTGCAACGATCATTACAATACCTTTGCCCGCAAATCCGGCGCGAGTTGCTTAAAGGGTAACTGCCGCCAAAATTTTCTCTTTTTTTTTGTCCCAATACATTCCTCTTAGGTTAAAGAATCCTAAATGCGCAAATAAACGACATATTGTGTAAAACCAAATTTTCTACAAATTTTTTTGACGCTTAATCGACGGCCGGCTCTCATCGAGAAATTTATAAACTCTTGCTCACACGTAATGCTCAAATAAGCAACCAACCTCGAACGAACAATTGATCCTGAATGTCTACAAATCCACGAAGACACATTTCAGTTTATTTCCTGTCATTTATCTTGTATTATTTTGGTGTTACACCCTACCCTTGCGGTCAGCGAGAAAGATGGCGGTAATTTTTGAGCTTCGTTAAATTTGCCGTGAATTTAGCTTATCAAAGCTGCCTTTTCCTCTTTTTTCTTCTTTTTTCGCGTTACATGTTGTCCTAATTCATCTTCGTACCACTATGGGAGGTCTAACGACAGAAGGATTCAAGAATTTGTTGGAGGAGGCTTTAGAGCCTCTACACAAATCGATTGATGAAGTGAAGAAGTCTATCGCCACTGCGAACTTTAATTATTACTAACTACTAACAAAAATATCACCCTACTAAAAAGGAATGACAGAACTGGTTAATGAGATCAAGAGTCTGAAGGGTGAGCTCCTGCTGGGTACTACAAACCAGTTAAAAGCTTTAAAGGAATCATTTAACGAACTTGAACAATACTCGAGACGAGACTGTATGGAAATCCGGGGTATTCCAAAGATTTCTAGTGACACGCGGGAAGATACGACCGAAATTTACGAGAGAAAAAAAATTTGTTCCATTCTGATATAGGCCACCATTTAGAGACTATGAACTACGAAGTGAGAAATTAAATAATGAAGGTTGAATAATTGAAAGACGACAGATCGGTTCTCTGTATTCAGAGTCACAGGTAATTTGCACGCCATTCCAAACAGCTGTAAAAAAAAATATATTCCCATAATTTGTTCTTTCTAACCATTATCGAGTCATATGCTTATAGTTATGTTAGGGATATGTTTAGTCCATGCCGAAAAGTATTGGACTTTAGATTTTGTCCGGTGTATATCACTGTGACCTCAGGCCCATCGGTTCTGGAGTGAGCGTGACTAAGCGCTAAGTATTGTCGCGGATTATGGGAGGTCGCCATCTGGTTTCGTGAACGAAACTCTTCTTTCATGTTCCGGAAATGTACAAGAATTATCCTTTTTTATTTTTTTGTTTACGGAGACTAATGAACAGCACAAAGGAAGACTTCTTGCTGTTGTAACTTTTTGTTTATTTCCTTCGACACGTTTTATCTCTAACTGAGAGTGCTCCAGGAATGATTACAACTAGCATTGAGCAGCATATATATATTAAGCACATTCGTGTGCCTAAATTAAATGAAAGCTTACTCGTTTCAAAAATATACAACTGTCAGCTGAGTGAACAATAAATTACTCACGCTCGTCTATCGTAACTAAAACAAGCCCACAGCCTTAGACCCTAAAGCAAATGTCACAGGACTACCTTGCACCCACCGTTTAAAACGCAGTGCTTTGGTAATAAAAAGGAACCGAGTCAGCGATAAACTCGTGCTACGGAAATAACAAGCACGTAATTTTTCTCGAATTACGGCCTGACGACCTGAACTTTAAAATATATATATATATGTCCACGCTCAAGTTATCCAAACCTGTACCACTCTTAGCCGTGTTGACAATTACAATATAGACAGAAAACAACAGGATGTAAAAACAAGAAACCAGCGCTGTGTAATAATTTTTTTGTACAAAAAAAAAAAATGCAGACGGGGTCACCCTTCACCAGTTTCCCCTAACCCTGGATGCTGGACAATACATCTGGCTTCTGCCTGCAACTGTTCCACCGTAACTTCCTTCAAATTTTTATTTTTGACCACATCTACTTCTTGGCAAAAGATGTTTTCCTTCTCTTTCCACATTGATTGGCAGCATCCACACTGACACCTTGTAATAAAAAATCAGTAAAGTAGCAATTTTTTCACGATGTTGAATAGAAGAAATCGAGAACACAACTTGTTTGATTGGTTTCACCAAAAGGAACAGTTATCAGCTCTGTAACTATTATAAACGTGAAAGACAACTCAAACTTTAGGCTATAAACAAGGTGCAAAGACCAGAAGTCAACAATAAGTTAGCATTAAAAGGATGTATAATTCTACGTATGCGAATACTATATTTTGCTGAATCGTGTTTTAAAGTAAAAGCCGAGAAATCTTTAATAGTTCACCTAATTCAACACAGGAATACTTAAAACCGATTCAATCGCGTAGAAATGTGTACAATCCATCCAATTCACCTCCACGAGGGTGTATGTTTATATTTTCAGTCAATGAAACCTTAGCTTCGGAAGGTGCGTGCGTGTAGCATAAAAACACTTCGCTCCCATGGTATTCAAGAGTCTGCACATTTGGTTTTCTTTACTTCATCGCTCCTAAATTTAACAAGCAACTGATTTTCAGAAAATTTATTTACAAGCGTAAATGCACTCACCATTTTCGCTTTCTTTGTTGAAGCGGCCGCAGCGCAAGGGCCCATGATCCTCTTCTGACTCTCGTGCTCTTTAATTTTAGGTTCGTCCAGGCGGTTCAAATCGCAAGGGCCTGATTTCACCAGCAGATTCATAAGCCCCTTCATTATGTTCACCCTCCATCGAGGCCTCAAAATCCGAATAATCAGACCGTTTTAGAATAAGAATAATCCGTTTACCGACGAAAAAAGGGCACAAAGAGGCATAC